GGTTCGTTGCATTCACTGACGCACAAACACCCTTGGGAAAGGTATGAAACAATCCCTTCTCTCCGCCCCAGCTGGATAGCAGGACAGACTGAGTCCTATAGCCTTGGTTGGCAACCAGTCTAGCACAGAAATAAACAACAACCTACTACGGGGAAATCCTCTGCCTCGTCAGTCATGAATCGAAAGAGACATGATCACCCAAGTGGGTATCAAACATGGCACTAAACTGACTGATCTGGAGTAAGAGCTGTGAACATCTCAAGGTATCGATAGCTGTTCATTCCTGGCAGCTGTTTTATGCTTGTAAAATCTGTAAAACTGACGTTAATGCAGAGATGCGCGTACAAAAACGTGTACCCGGCTGTTTGTTACTATCCATCAAGAAGCAAACACGTATCGGAGTTGATATTTGCTGAAAAGATTCCATCAAAGCAAACAAATAATTATTTCCTTTTGTTAAACAAACAATGCAACGAACAAGCCAGAATAAAATAAACAAAACCCAAGCGGAAGAAGGGGCAGACAACTCAGAACACCCTTTTGAGCACAAAGCCTGTGAATTAAGGATTTTTGCCGGGGTCTATAAAGGAAGAATGAATTATGAAGAAAACGAGAGCAGAAAAGAAAGGAGCAAAAGAAATGAAAGTATGAAAGGAAAGAAAACGAAAAGCAAGGAAGAGAGAGAGAGAGGGGGGGGAAATAAAAATGGAGGGAGGATAAGTGGAGTAGTTTAAGAAACATGAATGAAGATCATAGAAGAAAGAAAGAAAGAAAGAAAGAAAGAAAGAAAGAAAGAAAGAAAGAAAGAATGAAGAAATGAGAAAAGAAATTTGACAAAAAACAATCGAAAAAATAAGAAATAGAACAAAATTAAATAAAATAGAAAATATGAATGTGCAAAAGAAAGAAAGAAAGAAAGAAAGAAAGAAAGAATATGAAGGAAGTAGAAACAAAGCGACGAAAAAGGAAGGAAAAAATAAAGCAATGCTAAATAAAAAAAAGAATATGAAAGAAAGAAAGAAAGAATATGAAGGAAGTAGAAACAAATCGACGAAAAAGGAAGGAAAAAAATAAATCAATACTAAACAAAAAAAAGAATATGAAAGAAAGAAACGAAGAAAGAAAGAAAGAAAGAATATGAAGTAAGTAGAAACAAAGCGACGAAAAAGGAAGGGAAAAATAGAACAATACTAAATAAAAAAAAGAATAAGAAAGAAAGAAAGAAAGAATATGAAGGAAGTAGAAACAAATCGACAAACAAGGAAGGAAAAAATAAAACAATACTAAATAAAAAAAGAATATGAAAGAAAGAAAGAAAGAAAGAAAGAAAGAAAGAAAGAAAGAAAGAATATGAAGGAAGTAGAAACAAATTGACGAAAAAGGAAGGAAAAAATAAAACAATACTAAATAAAAAAAAGAATATGAAAGAAAGAAGTGATGGACAAATCAGAGTATACAAGAAAACTGGAAGACCTCATTAGCAATGGTAGCTACAGCAAAGTGATAAAAGATGAAAACGGAACTGTCACAGATCCTAATCAAGAACAAGGATCACTTCGCACCCAAGACGTATAGGCAGTTATCGCAGCGTTACACCAAGCTACCTCACATATACGGTCTCCCTAAGATTCACAAAGACGGTATTCCACTCAGGCCGATTGTTAGTTGCCAAGGCTCTGTGTGCCACCCTCTGAGTCGCTTCCTTGTAGATATAATTGACCCATTGATCGGAAAGTCTCCTTCATATGTCCGAAACTCCGCCCACTTCGTGGAAATAATCAAAGACGCTCCCATCCTATCCAACCAGATGGTGAGCTTGGACGTGGTGTTTGTTCACCAAGGTACCCACGGAGGAGGTACTCTCAGTAGTCAGAGACAGATTGACCTCTGACTCTTCACTTGAAGAATGAACCAGTATTCCAATAGATAATCTGATGGAGATGTTGACTTTCTGTACACAAACAACACACTTCGGAATGGGATCACACATATATCGACAGGATGAGGGCTTAGCAATGGGCTCGCCATTATCACCAGCAATGGCGAATATATACATGGAATACTTTGAAGAAATGGCATTAGAATCTATATCTCTAAAGCCAACTATATGGTTAAGGTACGTAGACGAAACCTTCATACTCTGGCCACACCAGGAAGATGTCCATGTTCTACTGGACCATGTGAACTCAATAAGACCTTCGATACAGTTCACAATGGAGAAAGAGTAACAACACACTCCCATTCCTGGCTGTACTAATATCTCGATCAGAGCATGGGTTCAAGACACCCGTATACCATAAACCAACATTCATCGAACAGTACCTCAATTTCAACTCCCACCATCCATACAGCGTAAAGAATGTGATCGTCCGTTGCTTACAACACCGAGCAAAAGTCATAAGTGGCGACCCAGAGACGTTAGATAAGGAATTGGTCAGTATAAGTAGTACCCTACAACGTAAAAACTACCCTGGGTACATGGCAGCAGCCCCCCAAAACTGGGATAGGCGGGTACAAGAGGAGGAGGACAACAACACTCAGAAAACAGTCTGCCTGCCTTATGTGAAGGGGTTATCAGAGAAAATACAAAGGATCTGCGGTCCATATAACATCAGGACAACCTTCAAAAGCGTGACAACACTTCGCAGATATCTCTCTCGAGTGAGACCCCCCACAGAGGAGAACATGACTAAAGACTGTGTGTACGCTATCCCGTGCAACTGCGGAAAGGAATATAAAGGAGAGACAGGCCGCCCCCTCAAGGTAAGGCTTCAAGAACACCAGAAAGCTGTAACGCGAGGGGAAGTAGAAAAATCAGGCGTGGCTGACCACATATGGAGAGATAAGGTAGATCACCGTCCGCTGTGGGATCATGTTGAGATCATAGACAGGGAACACCTTTGGAAAATTCGAAATTTTAAGGAATCAGCACATATGCTAGGCCACAAAAATCTCCTGAGCCGACCAAGCATAGAAATAAATACAATATGGGAACCAGTAATAAGGAGTGCCAGAGAAAAGCAATGATAACAAAGTTGCAATATGAACTCTGGTAAGAACATGAAATGATAACAGCAAAATTGCAATATGAGCACTGGTAAAAAATAGTTGCTGAAAACATTAGGTTTATAATACCCAGAAGTTCATACCCAGATGTCCCCAAGGACACAGTGGATAAAGGCGTTGGTTAGATCCAGTGACAGACCCAAAGAATGTGAGTTCAATACCCGGTTAAGGCAGTGGGAAATTTAGCAGGAGATAACTGATAACTGACATCCATCAAACATGGCACGTGGAACTAGAACAGTCTACCCCAGTTTGAAATTGCAACCACCTGAAGAAGGCCGGAGCGCACAACGGCCGAAACGTTGTGACAAATATGGCGACAAAGATGAGGACAATAGTCCGACTAATGTAAATACTGTACATAATACCTCATCTCAGAAATATAGACAGACTCTGAAAGAAAGAAAGAAAGAAAGAAAGAAAGAAAGAATAATAATAAATCTAAAAAAGGAGAATATGTGATTATGAAATGCAGGCAAAGAAAGTGAATTCTTAATAACAAAATGTGTAAATCATTTCTATACTGTTTTAACTCTTATGTTACAAATAAAACTGTCAACTGAAAGTCCACAGACACGTTGAAAAATATTTTTGTTTCACATTCGAAAAGACCGAATTCCAAAATTTTTAGATCTCGAAGATAGAGTTTAGCCGAATGAAATCGGAAAAAACTCGGGAACATTCGGCAAAGTTTGTTGACGTTGAAATATGTTACGTGCTCATTTCAACTTAAAATATACACGCACGTTCTGTGTGGCCAAGAAGTTAATGAAAATAAAGAGGAAAAAGGGAAACTTGTGATAAAATAAGCATAAAAATAAGGAAGAATAAGAAAAAGCAAGCATAAAGGAAAGGAAAAAGAAGAGATAAGTATAAAGGAGGAAGAAAAGGAAGAAAATGTAGAAAAGAAGAAAAAGGAAAGAAAAAGAGAATAAAGGAAAAGGAGAAAATAAAGAGAGTGAACGAAAAAATAGTACTAAAATTTAAAAAAAAAAAACGATGAGAAAGAGAAAAAGCGGAAAACGAAGGAAATAGAAGATTGATTAATTAGCTTTTTTACGGCTTATCAACCTTTTGCAGATTATTTGAGTTTTTATTGCTGTCCATTTTTCTACGTTTTCCCCGTTTACTCTCATGTAAGTCGAGTTATGAACGGATTCCATGTACGTAAATCAAATAAAAGTCGATAAATTCATTTAATATTGGGTTGGTGCATAATTATCAGTCATTTTTGTAGGCGAGTTATTTGTTAATAAAAATTGCTGCTTTGTTTTCTTGTTTTTAAATAAAAATATTGTTTTATTTTCAGGTAATAAAAAGGCATGTCGATAATCATACTCATTTAAAAATGTTATTGTTGAATTGATATATTTCTTTTTTCATAATAAATATTGTTTTAAAAAAGCCTGATAATTATACACCAACCCAATAGTTGATGTCTATATCTTTTCAAAAAATGAACGAATCTTAATTTTGTTTTCATTTGCTTTTTACGGCTTATCAACCTTATGTAGATTATTTAAAACCAGAAAATATTTTTAGTTTGTAAAAATTGTTTTTTTTTTTGTTTTTTTTAGATGATAATGATTTATTGATAGAAGTTCTACTAATTAACCTATAGCTGGGGTAGAAAAGGCGCATTTATACCCTTCCCAAGTGTATTTATGCAAAAGTAAATATAATGAACCCGAATCAAATTGGATTTTTTACAGTTTTTCAACTTAAATATTTTTCATAGTAAATTTATTTTGTATAATAATGATTTACTGATACATACTCTACTAATTAACCCATAGCTTGGGAAAAAGTGGATTCATACATTGATTAAGGGCATTTACAAATAAATTAATATAACGAACCCGATTGGAATTGAAATTCAGCTCTCCATTTTACAATTTCGAGTCGTTATCCCTTACACTGTCCACATATCCAAGCTTACAGCACCTGGTTTTCCAAAGCAGTCACCCATCTAGGTACTGACTAAGCGCGATGTTGCTTAACTTCGGTAATTGTACTGTAACCTGTGTTTCAACGTAATATGGCCGTAAGCAAAGAAAGAAAGAAAGAAAGAAAGAAAAGAAAACGAAAGAAAAGAAAAGAAAAGAGAAAGAGGAAAGTGTTTTAATGGGGATTACGAATTATTATAGCAATTATGCGTAGGAGAAAGGCAAAAGAAAGAAAAGGTGAAAGAAGAGAATGTAAAGGAAAGCAAAAGAAAAAGAGCGAAAGAAAGAAGAAATTAAGAAAGAATGAAAAGAATGAAATGAAAAAAAAACAAACTTATCTTATTGTGCACATAGGTGAAAAAATCATGTGAAATATTTTTTTTAAAAAGTTTAACACAAGTAAAAATATAAACACGCAAATCTCATAAATAACCATTTTGTTTTGTTTTCCAACTCCAAAACCTAATCCGACCAAGAAACAGCGGGACGTTCATTTCTTGTTAGAAGTTTCCGTCGGCAGATGTCAGGAATCAGTTTTGTCCTGTGCAAATGCTTATATTATTAGTATAGATTTAGTAAGCCCAGCTAACGACGTGGAATCATAAAAAGTTCAACCAGTTCATGATCGGTGTAAATTACCTGCTGAAGGTAGCAGTTGTCATTTTGTTGCATGGAAGTAAAAACAAGATTCAGAATCTTAATTTTCAAAGAAGGTAGATTCTCACGTCAGTGAAAATAAACGCAATACAATCTTTCTGTATTTAATTTTGTGTTACGCCAAGTTTCCGCCGATGCGATCGTGTGCTCACAGGCACTCCACGTCGTCACCTGAGTCTCCGTCCTCTTCCACCCGTCCTGCTCCAGCGTCGTCTCCGATGTTTCGGACACGCAGCTCCCTCCTTCTCTTCCTGGCTGGCGAAAACGTGTCGGTGGGCAGCTGAGGACGTGGGCTAGCACAATCAAGGATAACCTAGCAGTACTATCGGGTCCACAAGTAGTTGGTCTTCGACGATGGAAACGCGATTGGCTCGCCATTTCGTGTGACCTGGCTCAGGATCGGCGAGCCTGGGCAGCGATGGTCCGTGATGCTGTACTTGCTCGGGAGGAAGCCGGTTCAATCCGACCAGGGTGAAAACCGATACAGGTCAAGTCAAGTTACGCCAAGATTAGCTAAATCTCAAACGACTCTACTAAAAGAAGACAGTGATCCTACTTTCTCTCTCTCTCTCTCTCTCTCTCTCTCTCTCTCTCGAGGCAAATGTACTGATAATGAGAAGGTGCTATGCTGATGACGTAGATATTCATAAGAGAGACTATGCTGATGACATAAGTATTCATTACGAGGAGGGAATATGCTCATGACAAGCATTCATATGGAGGTACTATGCTGATGACGTAGGTATTCATAAGGGTGCCTATGCTGATGACATAGGTATTCATAGAGGGTGACTATACTGTTGACATAGGTTTTCATAAGGAGGGGGGACTATGCTGATGACAGGTATTCATATGGAGGTACTATGCTAATTACATAGGTATTCATATAGATGACTATGCTGATGACGTAGGTATTCATAAGGGTGCCTATGCTGATGACATAGGTATTCATAAGGAGGGGAGACTATGCTGATGACAGGTATTCATATGGAGGGACTATGCTGATGACATAGGTATTCATAAAGATGACTATGCTGATGATGTAGGTATTCATAAGGGAGATTATGCTGATGACATAGGTATTTATAGAGGGGGAGGTATTCATAAAGATGACTATGCTGATGATGTAGGTATTCATAAGGGAGATTATGCTGATGACATAGGTATTTATAGAGGGGGCGTATTCATAAAGATGACTATGCTGATGATGTAGGTATTCATAAGGGAGATTATGCTGATGACATAGGTATTTATAGAGGGGCACTCTGCTGTTGACATAGGTATTCATAGATGGGCTATGCTGATGACATAGGTGTACATAGATGGGATATGGCTGATCTTGAAAAAAAGGCAACTTCCATTACCAAGTATTCCAAAGAAGGCTTTTTTACTAAGTGTTCCAACAAGTAGAAGATAAACCTTTCTAAAATAGAAAAAATGATCTGGAATCGGAAAGAAAGCAATGACGGCACATGCCTCAAATCTATCATCTATCACCCCTTCAGCACTCTACCAGATGGCCTGATTTATAGACTTAAATAGTCTAGAATGAAGGACTTCAATAGTTGATTAATAAGTTGATACTTAGCTGATTAATATTCGGACTGATCTTACTTTGTTTTGATATACAGCATTTGACCCTCATCTATTCTTTGTAAGTTGTCTTGTTAATTGTTTTGTAACTTATTGATCTGTTTTTTGTATGTATCAGTTAGCACCGGATACTGGTGTTGAATAAATATATTAAGCTCTTATTCTTCTCTGTGTATCATTCACAAAGACGATACAACATAGATATTAAACAATTCAAATACCTTGGGTATGGATCAGTTATAACAAATTTAGTATAGGAGTTATGCTAATAGAATAGGCTGCGCTAAGGGTCGTTTCGCCCAACACCGCAAGCTGCTACAAAGAAAAAACATTGAGCTAAATATTCGAATCATGTTCTTAAATGGACTTGTCAGATCGAGAGTTTCATATGAATTTCATGCATGGCGCCAAAATCGTTCAGTTCTAAGCTGTATACAATCGCTTTCTCAGATCAATAGCTAAAAATTTTTTCTAGCAAATGAATCCTTGAAAACTGGCGCTACAGAATCACAAACAAATAAAAATTCTAAGTAACAGAAACCACATTACTTGAGAATTTTCAACAGCAACAACAACTGAAAATGTAAGAAAAAATAATGACATAATCAACATGTTGACTTTCCAAACTACTTCAAACAAAAGGTTAGGAAGGTAACTCCCGTCACTACTGGAAAGCGCTATAACATTTTCTGGAATTGATAAACCCAGTTTCATGAAAAAAAAATTTAATAGATATATTTTATAAATTTCATCCGAAAGTAGCCATGGCTGCTCTTTCATTGAACGTCGGATGTTTCCTTATAAGGAAACGTATATTACCATTACCATTAACATGTCCTGTAAGCAATCATGCTTCGCCATATAAACGTCATCTGTCATTTGTCTTTCGACAACTGGAATTGATCTTATACAAATAGGATCCATCTCTTAGTTGGCACCTCTCCGCTATAATTAAATGGAAGAATTAGACGTTACCTGTTGTCTACCTTTCTACCGCGGAATCGAAAGACTCGTGTTTCAAATTCTCGATTTCTTAGCCGCATAGGCAAATGACTGCAAAACATTTTTCCCTTCCCAATTTATAGGCAGAAGTATACAAATGCATGCTGGGATTTCTTCCTAGCCAAGGAAAAACGCCAATTCTCGATGTCATCTGTCTTAGTTCCGGTTTGTCTTCTCTTGAAGTCAAAACGCTACGTTTGCTTATCTGAACTTGCTCTTTTGTTTCAACCCTAGTTCTTAATTAGTGATTTTTTTGCTATATTACTGTTGCTTTGCCTTATTAATGTTAATTTGCCTTGGATATATTGTTTACTTGCTTTATATCACTTTTTGCCCGTTTCTTTTCTTCTGTTTTTCTTGTTGTTTATTATCAATTCTTTTTGTTGGGCAGTTCTGTCATTTATTTACATTTAACAATGTCTAGTCACGCTACAGTTAGAATCACGCATGCAGCTAACGTAGCGGCTATTGTAAAGTAGAACTGGTGAATTGGTTTCAAATTTTAGCCTATCATTGGTTTCGCTAATGGGAAATCCATCCATTCTCCTCTCTCCAAGCAGTTGGTCAAGAAGCAGAGTAAACTAGTCATTCTCTAGTCATGCGTGTCAATCATTCTAGGAAAAGTACTATTCTGAATGTAAAACCGGAGAGAAATCACACCACTAAATTTCCCAAGATATGCCAATTCTTAGAAAAAGGAAGCTAGGGAGAACATTGATCGCTTACGTTCTGAAGGGACATTACGGTTGCAAAAAATCCACTTATTGAAATGTTGATCCGGAAAGAAAATATCTTTTTAAATAAACACGTTTAACTATACAGTAAAAAAAGGAGAGTATATATAAAATCTATATTTTGTTAACTTCTCCCTATCCTTAGAAGGTTTCAAAATGTGAGTTTTTAAATATCATTTTAAAATTATTATATTAATGTGTAGTACATTTGGAAGTTAATTTATTACTTACTAACAAAAGAAAAAAAATGATATATTTTCATGGCTAGTGTAATACTTTCTCCATGCCATAAAAACGATTGCATATGTTGTTAAGTCCTTACTCTTATTAAGTTTTCAGTTTTTTAGTTATTATTGTTTTACTCGGCTCTTCCGCGGAGTCAGGCTTTCCATTTCCCGATATCATATATTTATGGAATCGTTGTTGTCATCAAAAAGACATTTCCACCTCGCTCCGATATCGTATAGAAGATAATTATATTTATCTCACTTTTATTTGTGATATTAAACATTACAGTCAACAAAGACAAAAAACATACACTTTTTGTATTATATAGTAAGATTTCTGATTTTTCGCAACTTTTTTGCTCATTTTGTTTATTTTTATGAAATTGCAATTTTGGCTTCCTTCCTGTCGGTGTGGGGCATTGTTGCTTCGGCTTTTACACCGGGTGAGAATTTCGTTCCCATCGTAAGAGGATGGGGTGGGGTGTGATGGCTAAAAGAAAAACAATTAAAACAAAAGGAGAAAATGGGCGCGAAGAATGAAATATTGTAAACTCTTAATTCTTTAAAAGAATGGCGAATAGAAGTGAAGAGAAAAATCTGAAGACATTTTCTGGATAGTGAATGGAAAATCGTTTTAGAAGAGGAACCGGAAGAGGAGGAGGAGAAGGAAGATGGAAATGATGGCGTAGACGTGCCGTGATGTCGATGGGTGGTATTGATGGCTTTAGTAAAGATAACATCGTGGGGTGGTAAGGATTATGCTTAAAATTTGTGAAGATATTTGTTTATACTACTAAGAAATCGAGTCTTTAAGAGACGGGCTTTTTTTTCTTTTATTATTATTAATTTTTTTTTTTTTTTTTTTGAAATTCGCCACCAGAAATTCGAC